AAGTTTTTAGGTTTTCAATGGTGAATTTTCACTAAAAACTGTCTAAATCATAAAAAATTCATATCTTGCAAAAGCTTTGGTTTATAAGCCTAAAAGTGTCGCAGTGAGTAGACAACACTTATCTTCAACTGTGGTGTAAATTTCCGACTCCTAGCTGATCATGGTCTTGAGATATTAATTAATTATTATTAATGGCATTTTCATTAATTAACTCATATCTCCGTCAAAAGGGCGCATGGACCCAAACCAACTTGAGGTTTTTCACTACTGACTACTCCCTACATGATGAAAATAGTCGGAGTCGAAAAGCTTTTAATCACCTCGAGAGGTTCCCTCGTCAGTAGCGAGCCCCAATTACAAGATTATGCCGCTAAATCTCATGTTAAAAAGTCTCAGTTGATCTTAAATTAAATATATGAACTATGGCAACAATATACAAGAGTCGGAGTTTTGATTGAAGGCTTTGTTTCTTTGGTATTGAGGTTTTTGTGTACAAGATTTTCTGATGTTTTTAGTTTTTTCTGAGGAAAATTTCTCATATAGATTTTTCACGGAAAAATGAATATATCAGGCTCTTGTACACCGTGTGTGTTCCTGTATCTGTTTCTGACATTTTAAAACTAACTCGCACTTTCCATCACTTGGTCCAATGGAGAAATCTTGTAACTAGTGATTATTCCATTTTGACCGGTATTTCAGGCTTCTGTCGAACGCTTATAGATGAAATCTCGAAATCTTTACCATAATTATTCTTAGATAGGACCAACATTCCCTGAAATTTTCGTCAAGTCTAATAGGAAGAGGGCGTATTGACTTCATGTAAAACGTTACAATCCTAGTAAAAGTACAGCATCCTGTAGATAAAATAATTTTTTAGGTTGAGTTGACAAACAACTTGGCAATGTCCACTAGTAGAATATCGGATATTCAATTACGATTAAATCAGAAACAGCAGGATCTGAATGACTTAACGAATAAATTTACGACATTGATAAGGACAATTGATAATCAAAAAGATGAAATACAAAAATTAGATAGTCAACGATCAGGTTTGTCCATTTTAGAAATATTAGTCTTTTTAATTATTAATTTATAAAAAAACAAATTTAAGAATTGCAAATTAAGTATGACTCATCACAAGATAGTTTAAAAAACGAAAGATTAATTAAAAAACAATTACAAACAAAAATAACAAATTTAGAAGATGAATTAGCTGAAATGAAAGTATCGTATAATAATACGGAACGGGTATGTTTTTCTCAAAAAATTAATTTTTTAAATATATAGACTAATATTGTTAATGCAATTATTCCTAGTCAATTACTGATAGAAAAATTAAACATGAAATGGAACGAAAACGTTTGCAAGATGAAATGGATGAATTAAAACTATTACATGAACACGAAATAGACGATTTAAGAAATAAATTAAGAAAACAACGAACTGTCGATAGTGTAACAACAACTCAAGAGGTATGTATATCAATACTATGGTTCAAATTTGAAAGACTTTTGATAACGCTAGTAAATCTACTGAAATACTAACTAGTACTTGTGCAATTAGTCTCCCAAGTTTTGCCCAACATTCGTGAAATTTTTCGCAAATAAATCAGGTACTTGCCAAGAAAATTAAGTACTTTTTAAAAACTACTTGATTTTTTTTATCAAGTACTATACCAAGCAGTTGCTTAAGTACCTGTGAGAGGCTCAACAAATAAATCAAGGGTCTGACAAGTACTTTTACTTACTTTGACAAGTAATTACAAATGTCATTTCAAAAGAAAAAATTTTAAGTGTAAGTAAATAAACTCTCTCTCTCAAGCACATTCACCAGAGAATCAAGTCAAAATAATCCGGGATTTTTTGACTTAAATCACATAGATATAGAAGTTTTGATATATGGATGAAAATATGAATGTACGTTTGTCCTATTCGCATTGGTTTTGCCATAATTTTTAGAAGTTTATGCCAGTTGCTGTTGTAATATTTTTAATATCTATTGTCAAGAAGTAAGAAATTGTCGAAAAGAGAAAAGAAATAATTGTAAAAAGAAGTTAATTGACAATTTATATTCAGATTGCTCGAATTGAACAAGATCTAACACGTGAATGGCAAGAAAAATTAGATCGTCAACAAACACAACATGAACGCTCGTTCAATATGAAAACAAAAGAACTCGATGGATTGAAACGTTTATTAGATGAAAAAGATGATAAAGTAGGAATCTTTTTTCGAATTAGAACGATCTAATTGATTTATTCCACTTTTTGATTTCAGCTTCAAACAACACATGCCGAAATAAGTCAATTGAAAGAACAGAATCAACTTTATGAAGAAAAGGTAAAAAGATAAACTTATATCTTTATCATAGAAAATTGACAATTTCTCTATGTTTTAGTGTGAAAAACTTCAAGAACGAATATCATTAGTGAAGGACAAATATGTTGAATTAAAAGATGAACAACAACAACTGATTGGAACAAATGTATATTCAAAATGAAATTCATTTTTGTTAAATAATACGGTACACTTTCCATTTAAGGTAAAACGAATTGTTAATATGATATTTCAAAGCATGAAATTGAAAATTAAATCAAATAAATCATATACTGGTGAAAAAGTTCTTACACGTGCACTTGACATTATTAAAGTAAGTTGAAATCTTCATATGACAAATATCACAAGTAGATTATATTATTTTATTTTGTAGAAATCAACTGTCAAATTATTATCGGGTGAAGACGAAATACAATCATCATCAAGTGAAGAAGATGAGGAGGAAACGAATATTATTAGTCAAAGTCAACCGTCTACAGAACAAGAAACAGTATTGACAACATCGTTAGATGCTACAATGGTAATGATAATGAGTGAGAATAATCGAATAGAAGCGGAGACGGGTGAACATAATGTAAATGAAGAAAATGAACAATCTATACTATCAAAAAATGATCTAGTTGATTCTACCGTATTGTTTGATACTGTCGAATCTGAACAACAACAACAAGAGCACATAAAAACGGACGCTACTGAAGAAACTACTGATGAACAGAAAACTACAAATAATCACAATCAAAGTAGTTGGGATACAATTGAAGAATTTCAAAAAAGTGAAATAACATCAGTCAAGGAAGAAGATGTGATACAAAAAGAAGTAGAACAAGTTCAACAGCAACAAAATGAAGAAAAAGATGTAGATATTCAACAATCGGATGAAACTGGTATGTCATCGCCGTAAATATTTATTGTAATAAAACTGACAAGAACAAGATATTTAATCTATTTCAGAGTCTATCCTCGACAATGTTCCACCGATTAGTGTTGATGAAACATCAAATAATAATACTATCACTAATTTGACTGAGAGCACCGTGGCAGAAGATAAAGAAGATGAAAATAAAAAAGGTGACGAACACGAAACAGATATCAATGAATCATCAATTGCTGGAAACATGTTAAATGATAATAGAGTAGATGTGGATGGTAAATAGCATTAAAAATTATGATTTAAATTGATAATAATTTGAAATAATGTTTAGATTCACCACGTCCCTCTATGCAAGAAACTGTAAAACCAGCCCTCATCAACGAATCATCAACGACAGTTTCTTTCACACAACCACCACCGAAATCGGTATCTCGAAATCTCGTAAGTGTTCGTAGTATTTGATCATAAATCTTTTTTCATGAAGACTTTTTATTTTCAGTATGAATCGATTCCATTGATGAGTGGCGATGACGATGACGATTTGTTTAAATAACAAACTGATAATAAAAGAATACTTCGAGTAATTGTGCAATATATTTTTTCTTTCGTCTATTCCATAATATGTAATGCATTTTATTTTATCAGAATTCTAATTATAAAGTCTTTCATATTTTTTATATTTATATGTTCGTTTTATTTATTTTTGAATGTAATTGTGTGTGTGTGTATGCAAGAGAGACAAGAGCTTGAATTGAAATAAAATCATATATTCGACTATTGACTTAGATTAATAACCAATTTTTTTACCATATATGAGGGACAATATTTTCGGGTGTCAATCAATAGAAATATATGACTTTTAAACAACAAAACCCAGTTTTTTAGTAACACAACGCAAATAAATGCCAATAATCGACGAATATTTAGTATTCATATTTTCGATTAATTATTCGATAAAACAATAAGAATAATTCAGAAGTATTAATGATATAAAAATCTAGTACTGAAGTAAAGTATTTCGATAGATGGTTATTTAAATAGAAACACAATAAACATATATATATATATAAATAGTACGAGAAAATTACTCATACAGTTAGAAGTAGATACTATTTTCATTTTTATAGTAAGATTTAGTGTTTTGACTGAAAAAAATGATGTTTCTAGCTTGATTGTTGTGTTCATAATCAAAAACATGTATATGTAAATTGTTCAATGGAAGAAGTGAGAGAGAGAGAGGGAGAGAGAGCACGTAAAACAACAACAAAAAAATATATAATATATAGTATGTGTATACGAAAATCTCTTGGCAAATATATATATAATGGTTTTAATCAAATATATACAATACGCACGTATTTTTTTTTATACATGATATATGATATACCTTGATAGAATAGAAGAAGAAGAAGAAAACTAAAGGCTCTTTCGTTTTATTTTTTGATTGTCATCTGACAACTACAATAGTTTGACAATTTTATAGCAATTCAGATGTTGCTTTACTATTAACGATTTGTTTTTTATTAAAAATTCAAAACGTGAGTGAAAATTACAATGTTTTTGTCAGAAAATTATTTCTCAAAACGGTTGCTAATTATTATTGTTTGCATTGTAAATCAAATTTATATTGTACGAGGATATTATGAAAGTATGAAAGGTAAATTTAATATAGATCGTACCATTAATGAAACACACGCTACTTTTAGTGCTAATAGAAAGAAATATAGTTATCAAAATGATTGATTGGTGAGATTTTATCAAGTTTTAACTTGGCTCTCTATCTAGGAACAATTCTTGGTTTTAAGTGACGATAAATTATTACTTCCTTTCACGTTTAGAAATGCGTTTTAAATATTGGTTGCAACCAAATGCTGAAGAATGTTATCATGAAGTACTTGATGCTGGTGCTACTCTCTATTTCATGTACGAAGTAAGTTTTTTTTCTCTCTAATATATCTTAACTTCTTTTTTTTATACACTAAGCTTTATAATTAGATCTTAAATGCGGATACACATGATAGCAGCATTGTATCATACGTACGACATAAGAATGGCACAATACTTTCGGTTGCCACTACACCACAACGTGGCCATTTAGAAGTGAAATTAGATGACACAAGTAGGTTACAGCTCAGTCATCTCTCAAATATTTCGAGCAATACATGAGGTATTCATTTTTCAGATTTGGTCGATATTTGTATGTCTAACACTCATTTTGAGACATACGCTGCCAAATATATGTCTGTTTTTTTTCATATTTATCATATTGATAAGATAATAGAAAGCATGAAAGAAATCGAAAAATTCGATAATTCATCTTTAGAATCAATGGTAAAAAATATTGCTAACTGATTGTAACAAAATTTCAAATTTTTTTTTTCATATTTTAGCGAGCAATTGACTCAATTGCCAGTCACATTATGGTATCACGTCAAAGTCAAATTGAAATAGAGATGTTAGCACAGAAAGATAGTTATTTAATTGAAATGAATTATAGATGGGTTCAGTATTGGGCATTAATTCATCTTGGACTTATTATTGGATGTAATGGATTACAAACACTATTTATTAAAAGATTATTTAAAACAAATAATAGATCAAGGATGTCTTGACTTTGTTTTATCATGATTTAGAAGAATTTTTTTATGTACTTTGAATGTTTTGTGAAAAAAAAAAAAAAAACTTAAAAATTTACAAAACTATAGTCGCTCAAAAATAAAAGTTTAATTTAAATACCTAATGTATTCAATACAAATGAGGCGATTTGCTTTTATCATATATACATTATATGTAGACGAAATTGAGCAAACAAAAGCATTTGTGAAATCTTAGCCGTTAGTCAGTAAACAACTAAGCTCAACTTAGATTCTAGATTTCAAACGCAAGACAAAACTCTTTGAATAATATGAACATTAATCATAGATGATAATTGACTTAAGACAAACGGTATCATAAAAGATAATCCATATGGTTAGATTGAATTGTTGAGAAGGATAAACGATATTCATGCAAAACAACGTTATTCATGAATTTTTTCTTAATATCCTAAAGAATGTGTTTTTACCAGTAACATCCAATAAAAATATTAGCGGACTACTAACACCGTTCACAAAGTTCATTTCATTTTTCTTAATAATTTAAACTTAAAGATATTTAACTAAAAAAAGTAAAACACATGATAAAGTGAATACAAGACCGTGATTGTCACTTCTGGCTGACTTAAATGTGAGGGTTGAATGAAATCGCTAGACATCAAAAGAGTCAGACTAAGAAAATTTTGCTAAAATGATTCTAGACAAAAGTAAAGAGTAAAGATTTCAAAGATTTAATTAATTAAAAAGAGCACGTCTACGTATAGTGTAAACAGTGTTTCTGCAGATGCTTTCTAGATACGCTAAACGGATTCGAAAGATTCGAGATGTGAAAACAAAATAAAATTAATGGAATATACAACAGTATAGTAGTCAACTTTAGGATACACACTGCTTTTGTAAAGAATGAGCCTTATATTCTGCGGGATGATACATCTCGGAAAACTTTATTTATTCCATTGTGACATGATAGAGCAACCGCGTTCACACATGAATAGATAGATCATTTAAGGTCAGACGAGAACTTTATTCCTAGAAGTTTAATAGTTCAATCAAACTCAAAGAACGTCGTCTATAAGAAGGGAAGAAAAGATTCGATGTATTGAAAATAAATGATAGAGAGAAATAAGTCCCTGAATATTTCTCAGCATTCTGTGACGCAGAATTGTTAGACTGTAGCGCTGTACGGTTAATCTCATTTTGAATGTGGAGTTAATAGTTGAGGTTAAATTTTGTTCGAGAGAATGGAATAACAATAAATAACAAATAAACTATAGGTAATAGTGGATTCAGCGATAGTTGAAACGTCATTAATGAAAAGAACAAAAAGATCAGATATTCATCAGCAATTATTTTTGAGATTCACAGGAGAAGTATTTATATACATTTAACTGTATTGACTTGAGTTATATGTAGACATTGCATAAAACCAATGACTCTTTCTTCTTTGACAAAATCATTTTTATTTTTGAATAAAAAGTGTAAGTCAGTATTTGATTTTCAAAGATACTCATTTATCGTATTTATTTTGTTGTGGCAACCGAATCTTTCAACGACTCATCATCCGACTATTTTCTTGTATATTTAACGGACCTTTTAGAATATACTTTATCGTTATTCGACGTTTTTTTTATCTCGTTTCTATTTCATTCAACGATTTTGAAACGAAATCTTTATCTATAAAGAAATGGCACAAATACTTAGAATAATTGTGTATTGTTCTGTCATGCGAGTTATGATAAATAATTATTACCTGTATTCCAATGAGCATTAACGATGTTGCAACTTCAAATCGTTTAGGTTTTGGTAAATATTTATTTTTAATTGTTTCTCAAGTTCTAATAATTGTTATGATGTAAATGCCGTCCGTGGATGACGGAATTTACCATGAAAAGAAACATATTGATCAGGAAAAATAGGGCTGATATGTAAGTTACCCATCAAACAAAAATATTCTTTCCTTCTCATGTTTTAGTCATCTTTGCATTAACAAAGCATTTAATCTATGATCATGGTCAATATTATATATATACAAGTTATTAGGGAAAAAAATCCTCCCTTCTTCTTTTCCTATAAACTCTAATAGATGCATTTCTATGCTCGTGTTATTAACCAACATGATCAAAAGTCAATTTTTGAGATCCTCTATTTGCATATTTTATAATAATTATCATGAACAAGTCAGGATTCTTTATAGATTGATAACAGGATGTAATGATTATTCGAATACTCTTCAATCACATAATGTTGCCAATATAAGGTAGAAATTAGTTTATGCAATAAAGAATAATATCACGTTTATCTTAATTATGAACCTCAGATAGAAAGAAAAATGGAGATTAATTAAGAAAACAATAAATTTACTTTCATCTCTCTTTATTTTCCAATGTTAGTTTTGTGAAAAAATCAAATCGAACTTGTATCACTTTATGATTTGTTTTATACGATCATAATAAACAATATATAGTAAAAACTTAAAGCATTTGTATTGACGAAGTTAAGTCAATTATAATGAGATATGAGCGCAATTTTTGAACTTACCTTGACAATTTGGATTATTTTTGATGATGACTAGTCGTACGATTTTTGTGTTAGAAAACTGATTACTTACTGATAATTGTTATTACCACTGCTAGTACCATTAAATAATGGTCAATAAAATTAATGTAGCAATGTTATTATAGATAGCATTGCCTATTATTGGATTGTGTTGATCATGGAGTGTTTTGACCAATGGTAGTGATGAAACTAACAAATAAGAATATAAGTCATTCAATGGTTGTGTGTTGGTACTGACACACCTAATAGTAAAATACTCTGCTGATTTCTTTTACCTTTTAGATGATGCTTATTTAAGGTTTTATACAAGATTTTGTCATTATTCCTTAAATAATCAAATTCGACTAATCCTCGATATGACATATCAGTTACATTATTTTTCCGTATTATTGTTGATCATCAAGCATAGACGCAACAAAAAAGTTTGTCTTATTTATCGTCATCGTTATCATAACCACCTTTATAATCGACACATATTAAACATTCAATAAATACTTATTATTGTTTCAATTAAAAACGCGGAAAATGACGTCTACCAGTGAATAAATTTTTAATCATCATCATTCAAAAATAAAATTAACTTTTTTCTTCCTTATATCCACAATATTTTGTATTATAAGAGTTATTATTAGTATTGTTAAAAATTATATCTCTCACTCGCTTACTAATATTTTACACACCAGATATATTCTCCTTTCAATTAGGATATGGATAACTCCTAACTTAAGTGTTTTTCACTTCATTTCATTGTTATCTTTAGTGTGAATAAACTACAACTCATTTAAATCAGAAGTGAACAAACGATGATAAATTGTCAGCTAAAATGAATGATTATCTTCATTGAATATTGTTCATTGGGACTGCTCACATTTATTGTGAGTGTATATATCTGGTGAGCACCTATATTTATCTTTCTTTATTATGTTTAGAGACATATCAACGTTTAATTAGAAAATTCTAATATATGAGATGGGAAAAATAATTTTTGAACAAAATTCTTCAAATATTTTGGTAGCGATATTTATTCTAAAATTGAGTTTTGAAATTTTCGTAACGTTGTAAGAATAAAATTAGCATATGTTTTTTGAGCTATGAATAATTGCTTATTAAAAAGACTTCAAAATTCAATACTGATTTATGAGCGTAGAGTGCATTTCATACAGGATAAAGTCTGACGTGGAGCTAGTATCGATTATGTACTCTTTAGACTGGAATGGACTCAGTTTTCTATAATAAGTTCGTTAACTTCAAGAGTTTTACTTGTAACTTCAGATCTAAACACAAAAATAAAGCTTTGTTAACTGCGACGATAAATGAAAAGAAACATTATTTATCTCATAATTCTTCTTTAAGTTACAAGATTTCATGAACAGACAATACACTTGAAATATCAGTCTAATATCACAGAAGCAACACCGACAAAACAACATACTTAACTTCTTTCTTTATCCTTCTATTTTCATTGATTGAGAACCTATTGCGAGAAATGTGGGAACTTTGTGTCAAAAATACGCAATTTTTTTGATTAAATCATTTTCACGCACAAATTTGCAAACATTTTCTTTTTTCAAAATACTTGCAAAATATTGAGAACTTTGACAAAAAGAGTTCCAACTATTTTTTGTAAAAGTGCGCAAATTCCCCGCAATAGGAAGACTCAATATCGGTTTTATTCATTTCTTTATACATATGTTCATTATCTAATCTAAACCTTATTAAATTGTTTTACTATTTGTCCCTTAGATGTTTATTCTATGCTTTAAAATTCATTCAGTCTCTCTCTGGTCGACATATTTTTATTTGATCTCTTACAGCGAAAAGATAAAAGGTAAATATTATAATTTATTATAATTTGGAAACTGCTAAGAAAGTCACGACTATTAACCATGATGAAACAATCATATATAAGACTAATAAATCTATTTATACTTGAAAAACAATAGATACTCGACGAAAACGGAGGAATTATCGTAAATTTAAAACGAGTATGGGTATATGCCCCTGCATTTTTATGTATTTTCGTGTAATATCGAGAAATAAGATTCAATACTTTCACAAAGAAAAGATATATCTTTCCCGAATGAGAAATTTTCTCAGTAGTCATGTTGCAAATTCCTTAGCGCAGTAAAGTAAACAGCCGCTCATGCTACGCTTCTTTGTACATGAAATTCCGTCGAAAACTGAGTAAAATTTCATTCTAACTAGAAGCTATTAGAATCTTACTTCATACTCCAAGCCTTTTTTGCTTCTTGAATTTTTCGTGATAAACAAAATGAACTGGTAGGTGGACGCCAACAATCTAACTGAAATCCTTCCCAAAGTGGTCAACATGAAGAACATGAAAAAATGAAATTCGTTTCGATTAGCTCATAAAACGTTCGAATCCTCAGTTTCAACTCAGTTTCACATGATTTATAAGCCGAGAATGTGAAAACTGTGGTTTTTGTGAAAAATTTGGCCTTTCATTTTTGAAGAGGT